CACGATTTAACTGTTTTAATGATTTTCATTAAAGCAGGGCACACACACGTGTGTATGCCCTGCTTTAACGAAAATCACAACTTCTATAAAGCAGGGCATACACCAGCATACACCGCGCGTCGAATAATCGACCTGGCTAGGCGATAGTCCACGTCCCCGTCTTTCCAACGGAGGCCGTGATGGTTCGCCATCAGTCAGTTAGCCCTTGTTTTCTTGGCGCTCGTGAGAAGGTCCCACGCCATCGGCGCGCGAAACACGTGATGCGCGAGTTCGCGCGTCTCGCTTCGGAGCACGGCCACCTCCTTTGCGACAAATCTATCGTTCACCACGAATCCCCATCGTCGTCGTCGTCGTCGTCGTTGCCGCTGCGGCCATTGAGTCGGTGCGCGTCGAACAATTCACACTCAAACTGCTCGTTCTTAACGGGATCTGAGGAACGATCGAAGGATCCCCGAATTTATATATCCCACAATCGCATTTTCCCGTTAGATAATTTTGCGCACCACGTTGGTCAGTGGACCGCACTCGATGACGCGATCGTGAACGATGAGACAAAAGGCAGTGGTCTTCGGCGGAACGTTTTTCTTGCATTCGAATTCGATGCGCACGTCCACGGTGACGCTCTTCACCGCTTCATTTTGGCGGGAACAATCGATCACCACAAGCGAAGCTACCCGCGCGAATTCGCGCGGGGAGAAGAGCGCGTCGTCGCGACTGTCCCCGTAGTACGCTCCTCGAAATTTCGCGTACATCTCGTACAGCACGGCAAACTTGTCGCTCTCAAAATCCGCGTTCACGTCGTCGTAAGGATAGAATTCCGAGTTGAGATACAATTTCACGTTGGCGAGCGCGCAATGATCGAACCTCGAGGAGTCCTCCGTGAATTCGTTTCGCCGTCCGGTCTGCAGCGCGAATATGACGTATCGCGGCTTCTCCAACTGCAGCGCGGCTTTCACGGCCCACGAATGCTTGGTTGTGTTCTGCAGGAGGGGAAATTCGTACAGGTTCCAAGAGCAAAAGTCCGCGCTCAGAAATCGTTTGCTCTCCAACGTTCGCAATAGCGACAATTTAGTCACGTCGTTTAACGCCACGTGCGGTATACGCCATTGCACCTTCAGTAGCGTAATTTTAGGATCCTTGGCCGGATCTCTCGGCACGATTTTTTTCGGATCTACGACGCAGTTGTGGTCGCTACAAGAGCGTATCAGGATAAGCTCGTGTCGCGCGTTTATTACCACGCGTTTGTAGTCCTCGCAGAAACTTAAGAGAATATTCAAAGGCACGCAAAAGTTGAATTGACGGGATGGGCTGTTCAGATTCGATTCGTTCGTTGGATAACACCATCCGGCGTTCTGCAGTCTCCTGGCTCGTTCGGCGGTCAGCGACACGTAGTTCTTTATCGTGCTGGTTATTCCGACGTTTTTACACCGGTCGATCTCCACGCCGTCAAGTTCGTATCGAATCTCGTCGAACATAAACGCGACGCAGTTGTTGACCAATTTCGCGTATTGCCTTTAATGGTCCCTCGCCTCCGACGTCGCCGCGCCGCCGATAGAGTCGTCCCTCGACGTACAGGAAACTGTCGCACGGCAGCGTATACAGATCCTGCTGCTGTATGGGTATTCGTATCTCGTCGTTGTGCCCGAACGTCGTGTTGACGTACGGGTTATACGTGTGAGTCTTGATTCCGACGATGCGCTCGTCGAAAATCGACTCACCGCCGATACTTAGAATGTCGGCCATGGTCTTTTCTTTCGTCGATGTGGAAACGACGCGGCGGCGAAGCGTTTCTCACGGCGAGACCCAGCGAACCTGACGTTGGTGTTGCTGAGAACAGCTCTTCTTCCTCCTCCTCCACCGCCTCTTCTCCTTTTTACGCTTTCGATTTTGTCCTAGAACGGGCTAGTTCGCTCGTTCGTGCAATCCGCGCTCGATCCGTTCAGAACGAGCATCCCTCTCGCTCTCTCTTCAGATCGCGGAGATACGCGCACACACACACTAACCGCGGCGACGACGTACGTGCAGTCTAATCGTTATCTCCTCGCCGCGAAAGTCGATCAATCGATCGTTCTGATCCACGATTCGCACCGTGATATCGGTGACGTTTCGCGCAACGATCGGGAAGTAAATGATCTGCGTCGGAGTCTCCGACAGTTTATATTCCGGTGGAACTTTTGGCGCGAATTCGTGTATCGCGTGCACCGAGCGTCCGTTGCTGTATGCTCCCGTGGTGATGCTGCATTCGATGCGAATAATGTTCACGGTCGTGACGTCAACGGGTCCGTCGGAAACGTACCATTTGTTCGGTTTTAAGATACGATCGCGCGAGAAACCCAAAAAAGAACCGATATTGTTCGGTTTTGTAAAATTTACTCTGTAGGCGCATTTTATCTCGCTCCTCATGGTATTCTCGTTGGCACAAAGAGCGAGTATCGTTCTCCCACCACCGTCATCGTCGCCGTTCATGCCGTCGTCCTCGATATGCCATAACCGTCGTCGTCGTCGTCGTTCTTCTCCGTTCGGTTTTTTTCTTTTACTTGTCTAGCGCCATCGACCTGCAGTTTTTCTCTCTTCTCTTTCTTTTTCTCTCTCTCGCGGGCGCGACGTTCGCGATGAAGAAGAGCGGCGCGCAGATATCTGCTCACGGCTCGCAGCTCGTACGACCCTTCCGGAACGACGATCTTACGATCGTCCTCGCCGAAATAGAATCGATTGTTTGCCGGCGTAACGTTCGGTATCGAGTTGTACGTCTCAAAAGTCGCCGAACCCAGCTCGTACTCGCCGTCGCTCAGATCCAAAGCGGGAAAATGACTCGCCGCGAGAACGCTGCTGGTTCCGGTTAACGTGAGCGTCAGCGACATCGCGGGAGAACGTCGATCTTCCGCCACTCCCCCAATCGATCTCGCGCAGAAATCGCAGGCACAGTTATCCGCAGATTCTCTGCTCGAACGTGCTGCTCTGAAACGCGCGACGATTGTACGTCACGATCGCGCTCTCGCCGTCACCGTCGAGATATCGCGCGAGATTTCTCGGCGGACAAAGATTTCCGAACGCGTCGAAGTAGATCGCCGCGTTCCCTTTCTTCGCGTAAGCGACCCAATGCATGCCCGGACCCGCCGCGTCGTCGAAATTTACGATGCCGCACTCTGCGTGTCGCACCCTCGTCGGCAGAGCGTCGCGCATGAACACCCCGCGGAAGAACGGTATGCGTAGGCGACGCGCCGATCGATCGAGCTGCTCGTTCGTCGTGACGCCGTACGGCGGCAGATCCGACGTTGCCGCTAACGTCGCCTTCTTCCGCGAATTTTTTTTTTTGGCGACTCTCCTTGCGCTACCTCCGCGCTTCTTATACGGCGCGAGGTACAACCCGCGACCCTCCATCGCGCGATTGTGTCGCTGCACTTCCTCGAGTTGCCGTTGCGCCGCTTTGCCGGCGCTCACCGCTTTGGCCACGACAGCCGCGTCACCGATCAAAGAACCGAGCGCGCCCAACATTGGTAGGAAGGGCAAGAAGCCGCCGCGTTTCGCTGTCGGAAGTATCCTCCGCCTCTTCCTCCTCGTCCTCGTGTTCTTCCCGCTCGATCCCGTTCCTTTATTCTTTTTTCCTCTTTTCCTTTCTATACCAATGCCCAGTTTCGTCTTCGCCTTCATAGCTGCCCATACGGCCGCCGCGGCGAGTCCTTCACGGTGACGCGCTCGCGCGCCCTCTCGGCGAGCAATTGATCGGCGACGTATCGTTCGGTGAGCTCGCCGGTTTGTGATTACGCGACGTCGTGCTCGCGGCACGCCGCGTCCAACGGATTGATGTCTTTATCGCCGCGCGCTAGTCTCTCGCTAGACGCGTACCGGGTCCGCAAAACTGATAACCGGGTATATGCAGCTCGAAAGGAAGAGCGTTTATCGCGCGATTGACTAGACCGGCGCCGCGCATTTGGTCGCGGTTGCGAGAGGGTTTTTCTTCCTCTTCTTTAATTCGAACGGAAACGTTTCGACGACTCACCGTTCGGAGTGAGCACGCTGTTGCACTCGTAGCAATCCTTGACAAGCGGCGGTGGACCGTCTATGTGCGTTTGCTGCCACGGACGATTGTAATGTTCTACATACAAGCGATATCTCTGCACCTCGGGATCCGCTCTTATATGTTCGGGCAAACGGTCCCACAACAGTTGCACGTATTTCTCAAATTTACGCAACAGAACGATCTTCGGAACAAATTCCAGCTCCTTGGCGGTCAGATCGAGAATATCGCGCCTGTTCGTCAGTATCATGGGAAACATCTCGATCACCGACGCGCGCGAACAATTCGTTGCTTCTTAGATCAAATTTCTACGAATGCGGCGACACGCTCGCGCTACTTATACCTGCGCGCGAAGCGTCTGCGCACGCGCAACAAAACGAAACAATGTCCGTGCTCCGCTCCCCTACCCCGGCGCTCGGGAGCTTATCGCGAACGAGCGCGCGCTTGTGGAAAAAACCGAGAGAGAGAGAGAGAGAGAGAGAGAGAGAGAGAGAGAGAGAGAGAGAAAGAAGGCACAATGCGATTCGTGCGACAGTCGGTGACGATAGGAGTCTCAAATGTGGATCGCAAAACGCTGACAAGGTCGGGCGCGACCGAGGGAGGAAGCGGAGAATCGCGCAGACACGGTCCTCTCTTACCGAACGTCGTACGTTGCATCATCCGCGGTCCCTCTAACTGCGGTAAGACGAACGTTCTGGTGAGTTTGCTGGAACAGCCGCACAGTCTTTGTTTCGAGAACGTATACGTGTACTCGAAATCTCTGCAACAACCGAAGTATTGATATCTCGAACGATTGTTCAAGCTTATGGACAAGATCAGCTATTGCGCGTTTGCCGACAATCGCGACGTCGTTCCGCCCGACGAGGCGCTTCCCGACTCGGTCTTCGTCTTCGACGACGTGGCCTGCGACAAGCAGGACAGAATGAGGGAGTACTTTTCTATGGGTCGACATTCGAATATCGATTGCTTCTACCTTTGTCAGACGTACGCCAAAATGCCGAAACATCTCGTGCGCGATAACGCAAATCTGTTGATTCTGTTCAGGCAGGACGGCACCAATCTGCGACACGTGTACGACGATCACGTGAACATCGATATGTCGTACGACGAGTTTCGCGCTTTCTGTCGCGAGTGTTGGCGACGCACCTACGGTTTCGTTGTGATAGACAAGGACAGCGCGTTGCAAGGCGGACGGTACAGACGGGGGTTCCACGACTTCGCCGTGCTGTAGAGCCGATCAGTACGCTTCGCCGAACGACGCGAGTATGAGCGCGATCGCGGGAGAGATTACCGCGCGAGAGACAGCCAAAACGCGCGCTTCGATTCGCAGGAAGTACGCCGCTCTCAGGGCCGGAAAAATAGAGAGCGAGATCGCTCTGAAAAAGAGATACGAACCTATCGTCAAACTTCTGAAACGGCTCGCCGATGAGGTGGAACGAAGGGGTAAAGAACCGGGCAAAATTGACGACGACGACGGTGGTAGCCATACGCTCGCGAGAAAGGTAAAAGCGACGAAAAGAGCGAAGAATGATAGCGAGAACGGCGACGACGACGACGACGACGATACTGGCGCCGACCTGGAGCGCGATTACGGGGAGGACTACGACGACGTATTCACGCTAATCAGGACAACCACGACAGCGGAAAAAAGAGAGTCGCGTCCAGCACGGCTGAGTTCGGCTCCCGCGACGACTATGACGAGCTCCACGCCGATCCGCGCCGATTCGGTCCAGTTTTTACCCAGAGAACGTGAGATCGTCTTGGAGACGACGACTCCACCTCCCACGTTGGAGAAGTCCGTCAGGAAGTCTTTGAGCACGGCGGAAGGTCGCGACGCTCTGGGTATCCAACTAGGACCGTTAGGGCGGGAATACGTGGGCGCTCTTCTGAGCGGCGACAAAAATAAGGAGATCGACATCGTTTACGGAGTTCATCTCGGCGAGAACGGCACGATGCTGGGTAACAAGCGATTTGACGTGAACGCGTATGACTCCATGGTCATCGACGGTGTACGGTACAAGGGCACGCGCGGCCTGTACGAGTTGATCTTTATGCAAAAACCCGACGCTAGAATCTACACGGACAAGGACAAACTAACGTACAGGAGTATACTTTTTTCCACCAGCGCTTACAAACGCAGCAGCAACGCCGACAAGTCTGTCAAGAGCAACAAGGGACCGAAGTACAAAAATATAATAGCGCCGCTCGTAAACTTGTCTCACAGAGTTGGAACTACGAAGGGTGCCGGGCTACCGTCGGCCATGCGACTGACCGACAACGCTATCGATTACGTTCACTGGGACGATCCCAACGAGCTGGTCGATCGACTTTGACTGCTAGACGCCTCTCGTCGGGCCGGCAGCGACGCTCACGACAACGAAATTCTGTCGATAATCGAGGAACTTCGCGAGGACGGTTTTGTCATAAATTGATCGGTCGCGTCGATCGCGACGGTAGTACGAATCGCGCGCTCTCCCGCGCCTCCGCGATGGTAGTGAACAAGTTCGGCATGTCTCTGACAAATCGGAGCAACGGTGACGGAATCGACGGTGCGTCCACGGTGAGATTACGCTCCTCGATCTAGTCCCTGCTCAATTACGCGCGCAACAACGCGCTCTTCATGAGCGAATATTTCTCCGACGCGAGGGAGCGCAAGATACGGCGGGTGGCCGCGCCGGAGATCGACACCGACGCGACGAACAAGAGCTTCGTCGAGGACGCGATC